TTAGCTAGTTGGATGTTTCATCACCACTGTGACACAGTCTAGTCAGTTTTGGACTTTATCCCTTTCCAGAATCCAGAGTGACTCCAGCAGTTTCCCAGACCTGTCTAGGGTGAGGGACATTAGCCACTTTGAAAGGCAGCTCCAGGGACACAAAAACTATTACAAAAACGTTACTTAGTGGCAGAAGGTACTTAGGTGTAGGTTTTTCTCAGTCAGCAGAAATCTGACCTCTGCTCCCTCCCCCACCCTTCCCTAGTCCTCATTCTGAAAAGTCGAAAAAATGTAGAACCATGAGTATCTACTAAGAGGAGACAGCAGAGGAGTGCCAGGCCCTCTGACCCAGAACATTGCCGTCTGTTCCTTTTAATATACTCCTTTTATGGTTTATCTTTTAAATACTAAAGCTGATAAATCTGTACTCTCTTTAAAGTCAAAGAAATTGGAATTATAACTTTATAATTGGCAATCATGAAACTGGGAGGGAACAAGCACAGCTCAGGAAGGAGGAATAAAGATTTTGAACATCCCAAAACAACCTGTTATTTAGTGTAACGATAATGGACACACAGGAAAAGCGGAGCCACCCAATCCCAAATTTGCCATTTCATCTGTTAAGAAAAATTCACTCCAAACAGGGAAGGACTAAGTTCACAGATTTACAAGATTGATGCCCAAGATGAGAGAGTGGTTGTCACAGAACGTGAGTTCATTCCTGTCTCCTGGCCCAGGTGAATTATAGTGCAGGCTCTAAAGCAAGTGTGAGGTCGAATTCCTATCAGGGTTAATTAAGCAGGTCTGGGAGTATTTCACAGGAGTGGTAATCACTGGGAAATAGCATGGGCTCACTAAAAACAAGTCATGTTGGTTGTTTTCTTTTGTTAAAGGCAACTACCTGGCAAGGAACTGAATCAAACAAATGCCAGTGAATAGGAAGTTCTGCCATTAGGAATGCCAAACCACTTCCCAAGAACAGAATCTGGGTCTTGGAAGCAGGATATAGTTTAAGAGCAGCATGAAAGATTTATAAGATTTCATTTTTTAAAATTATTTTTCCTCCAACTTTATGGGGGAATAATTGATAAGTGATATTGCTTATAATTAAAATGTACAACGTGATGATTTGGTGTACATATACATTATGAAATGATTACCAAGATCAAGTGACTTAACACATGCATCACCTTTTAAATTTTTTCTCTTTTAAAAACTTTTTTTGTGCGTGTGGTGAAAATATTTAAGATCACTCTCAGCAAATTTCAAGTATACAATACTGTATTGTTAACTATAATCACCATGCTGTACATCAGAACCTTACAACTGAGAGTTTAGCATATATCTCTCCATCTTACCAATCCCCAACCGTTGGCACCCATCATTTTACTCTGTTTCTATGAGATCAGGTTTTTTTGTTTGGCTGGTTGTTTTTGATTTTTAGATTCCACATGCAAATGATACCATGTAGTATTTGTCTTTCTCAGTCTGGCTTATTTCACTTAGCATAATTCCTTCCAGGTTTATCCATATTGTTAGAAATAGCAGGATTTCTTTATTTTTTAAAGCTGAGGGGCGCCTGGGTGGCGCAGTCGGTTAAGCGTCCGACTTCAGCCAGGTCACGATCTCGCGGTCCGTGAGTTCGAGCCCCGCGTCGGGCTCTGGGCTGATGGCTCAGAGCCTGGAGCCTGTTTTCCGATTCTGTGTCTCCCTCTCTCTCTCTGCCCCTCCCCCGTTCATGCTCTGTCTCTCTCTGTCCCAAAAATAAATAAACGTTGAAAAAAAAAATTTAAAAAAAAAATAATAAAGCTGAATAATATTCCTCTGTGTGTGTGTGTGTGTGTGTGTGTGTGTGTGTGTGTGTGATTTCCACATTTTCTTGATCCATTGGTCCATTGATGGACATTTAGGTTGTTTCCATCTCTTGTTTATTGTGAATAATGCTACAATGAACATGGAGGTGCAGATGTCTTTTCAAGATAGCAATTTTATTCCCTTCATATATATATCCAGAAGAAGAATTGCTGAATCATATGGTTGTTCAATTTTAATTTTTTGAGGAACCTCCATTTTGTCTCCCATAGTGGCTGCACCAATTTACATTCCCACCAGCCATGCACAAAGGTTCCCTTTTCTGCACGTCCTTGTCAACCACCATTCTGACACCAGAATATCACTTTCACATATTCTTTTGGTTAAAGTAAGTCACAGGGCCAGCCAATTCAAAGGGAAAGGGAAACAGACTCAACTACTTGGTTCAAGGAGTGGTAAAGTCATGTTGAAAAAGGACATATGGAGTGAGAGGGATGGTTGTGGCTGTCCCTGGAAACAATCTACCAATTTGTCCTTGGGAAATTATTTAGCCACCTGATTTCACATGCTTTACCTATAAAATGGGAAATAATAACACCTACTTCTTAGGAATGTTGTCACTAATAAATTAAGAAAGTGTGTTTAGCATCATCTAGTACATACTTCTTAGGAATGTTGTCACTAATAAATTAAGAAAGTGTGTTTAGCATCATCTAGTACATTGTAGACACACAACAGCAACAACAAAAACATATGTTGACTGAGCCCATATTATGTGGCAGCATATTCCAAATACTCTATGTAATCTTTATAAGAATTCATTGATGCACATATTAGTATTATCTGAAGAGAAACCCTAGGCACAAAAATTTTAAGTAACTTCCACAAGGTTGGTTCCACAGTAACCATTTTCTCTAAATTACAAATGTCTTACTGCCTGCTACCTCCAAAGGGCACTTCTTAGTTTTTGTCTCTCTAGGCTCTGTTGACAATTGATGCTGTGGATCACTCTTCCATCAAATGCTCTTCCTCCTTTGGCTCTCATGACTCCCCTCTGTCCGGGTTTTTTCAATCTCCTCCTTACTGAAGCACATTTTAAATGGCAAAGCTCTCTTCCAATTTTCCAGCTCTCCTTGCCTGGATGAACCCATCCAATATGGCAACTAAACTCTAGGCTTCCAATTCTAAGTATCTTCCGCTACTTACCAGATACAACCTAGGTCAGTTTGTGTAACTTCTGTGTCTTTCATTCTGTCTCATCCCATTGGTTGCAGTCTTGTCAGTTAATACTTGAAAGGTTTCTCAAATTTAGATGTTCTTGGCAATCAGCTAGTGCTTTTGGCCTGATCTAGGCCCTTGTCATATCTGGCCTGGTTTATCAAAGTTTGTTCTTAACTGGACTTTTCACTTTCAGTTCTCTTTGAGGTACTCACATCAGTGGTATATTTCTACATGTTTTAACACACACCCTTCTCCCCACCATTACTATACTAGCACTAGCATCCTACTCTCTGCTTCCCCCTCCACTGTCACATGGTCTTTTCCTTCCTTTCAAGGACCAGCTTCTGCTCTGTATCTTCACAGGCTCCTTCTCAGCTGGCTTCTTCTCCCTCCTAGTTTTCCTAGGACACAGAGTCTGCTTGTCTTTTCATTGTTTGGAGTTATCTTTATAACTCTGCATTCTCTCTACTGTTCTAATATAAGATCCTGAGGCCCTCGCACCATTCACAGCAGGATTTCAAAGCTGTCTGTTGGGTGAACACTCTGTAGCATCCTGAAATACCTAACTGCACAGTATGATTTGCTATGAGGTGTCCCTAGCAACAACACAACCTATGGCTAAGAGTGCCAGTTGTAGAGATTCTACTGTAATTGTTTTAGAGTAAGGCTTTGACACGAGTTTTACTGAAAGCTAATAATAATATTATTAACTTTATTATTATTACTATTATTCGAGGTTACTCTGCCTCCTCAAGTATGAACTTGGGCTGGTGAACTGAGCCTTTATGAGCCTCAGGTTTTTCATTGGTAAAATGAGGATAACAGTTATGTAGACCTTGGGGGGCTATCAAGGGAATGAAATGAGATTCTATATCTAAAAGGCGTGTGGTATAGTGCCTGGCACCCCTCTCCTGCTCCCCTCCCCACCGGAGTTCAGTCTTCGTAGTTATTTCTGTGTTTATTGCCTGGGAGTGTGAAGAGGTGGGTGCATAAGAGGTGGCCAACGTTCTCTTCCCCAAACCTCAGATTCTGTGATAGTCTAACTTGGTGTGTGCAGGAGACACGCTGGCAATCCTTGGATTTCTAATCAGTTGCTTAGAAAACCAGCCAGGATCTGTGTCCCAGCACCTTTCTCAGGAGCCATTTATTTGCCCTTATTTCTGATGTGAGAGCCTCCACCGTCTCCAAATCACCACCGTGGTGGAAAAGATCCTGCACTTGGGAGATTCTTCCTTTGTTGGCAAATCTTGGCCCCGAACCCGCCTTTGGGGGTCTAGCACCCTTAGGCCCGTGATTTATGTCCAGACGGCGCTTTTCAAATTCGAAGCCGGGACTAGGTTCTTCAGTTTGGGCGGGTGTGGTTCAGATTGCACCTTTCGCGCAGCGCACCCAAGAACGTGCTTTCGACGCACCGGGCGTGGGGCGGTGGGAGAGAGTGTTGGTTTGCAAGAAGACGGAGGGGTGGGATGGCGAGAATGCCCACAGCGCGCCTCCGCTCACACTCTCCAAGCCTGGGCGCAGCCGCTCTGAGCGCAGGGTCCGGAGGCGAGTCCCGCGCTCCTCTAGGAGCGGGCGAGCGCCCTCGGTCCAACGCTGGCGCCGGAGCCGGGCCCACCGGGATCCCAGCCCGCGGCGCGCGCCACAGACCGGGCCCCGCCCCCCGGCGGCCGCGAGTGGCGGGCGGGGCGCCGGGAGAGAGGCGCGCGGGGCTGTACGGCGCCACCTCCCCTCCGTGCCGGGGGAGGGAGGGACGGAGCGGACGGGCGGGAGAGAGAGAAAGCCCGACCGACCGGCAGCCGAAGAGCTGCATGCAACCGGTGGGAGGCCGGGCCAGCCGGGGCTGGGGCTCGGGCCGTTTCTTGGCGGCTCCCTGACGGAGAGCGCGGACGGCCCGGAGGCGGCGGCTCTGAGCTGGCAGGCGGAGGGTTGTCTCCCGCGCCCGCCTGCCCGGCTCGGTCCGAGGATGCGGGGGGGCGATGCCCGGGGCCAGGGACGCGCTCTGTCACCAGGCGCTGCAGCTGCTAGCCGAGCTTTGTGCCCGTGGGGCCCTGGAGCACGACAGCTGCCAGGATTTCATCTACCACCTGCGGGACCGCGCCAGACCCCGGCTTCGCGACCCAGGTGAGTGCAGCCGCCGCTGCTGGGCGCGACCGGAGGGCCCTGTGCTGGGAGTTGGGGCCGCACCGGGGCCTGAGGCAGAGGAGCGACGCGGACTGGGGGAATGTGGGGGGTGGCCGCCGACCTAGAGGAGGGGATCAGGAAGCGGCTCGCCGTGGCCTGATGCTGGACCCGGGCGGGGACCCGGGCAGAGGCTGCTGCGCGGAGGCCGGGTCCGGGGGGACTGGGGCAGGGCTGGAGGGACCACGCCCGCCACCTGCGCTCCGGTCGCCCTCGCTCCGGGGGGCGGCTCCCGAGCTCCCGGCTCCGCGCTCCACTTCCCGGGCTCTGCGCT